TAGCCTCACAAGTTCCTCATGCTAACTGATTATTCCATCTACTTCTCGTACAATTATGACTTTGCTAATAAATAAGATTTATTCAGAGGAACTTAAGATTATTCAAAGAAGCTAAATCTTACCTTACGCTGGTGAATATTTAGAAAAAGACTACAGTGGAAATTCTGCAATTCTTAACCGAAAGCCTTTCATATTTGAAAAATAAAATTAATCTTAATGGTAATATACAAATGAAATAATGACAAAGATTTAGCGCAGTATCTTTAGAACTGAGAAAGAATCGAAATAATTTAAAGAACAACGAGACAACTTCAGATTTCATTTGGGATTTTTCAAAAGAAGTTGAATAATAGGACTTCACTCTTTGGAGGAACTTTTGCTTATATAAACAGTACTTTCTCGAGTAAGCATTACTACAATTTTTCGCTTATTCTCAAACAATCCATCTTTCATTTAAACGGAATGAAAACGGTAGAAAGTTTTTTTAGCAAACTGAGAAGTAAAAGCTATCAGCACTTGATGCGTAACATACCTTTCCATTAGAAGCATTTTCGATTGATGTATCAACAGGATAAGAGTGTTCCAGTGGCAATTCATTAAAATCATAGAGTGATCTCGAGACGCGAGGAACTTCCTCTGATGAATTTGAGGTATAGAGACTCACTTGATCTGAAGTTTGAGGAAGAATCGGTGAGTCCTGCGTCATTCTAATTGTTTCTTGTAATGAAGGTTCAGATGGCACTGTATTTTGATTCATGTTAGGAGTAGAAAAAGTGACTTCTGCTCCAGCTTGAGAGTAAGGTGGAGTCGATGAGGCAACATCTAGAGGTATTTGGTGAGGCTGAGACTGCGTGGTTATCGCAGCAGAGAGAGATGGATTTGGTATAGCTTCAAAAACCTAAAGTAGAAGTGGATGACAGTGTAAGAGCTGGTGGAAGAAAAATATTTACCAAAGGCACAACATAAAGAGTATCAAAACTTAAATAACGTAAACTAGTTAATGGATTACTAACTTGTGTACTAGTCTCAATCTTCGTTATCTGAGCATCTTTGTTTTCAACTGGTACTGAAGTAGCTATAGATTCTTGTGCAACATTTTTTTGCTTAGAACTTTCCGGAATATTATTAGGTGTATCATTATTCTGAAAAATAGAATACAGAATGAAAATATGTGTGTTAATCCCAAATCTAATAATACTAGAATATATGCAGAACATGAAACATTCAGAACTCGCAAAAACAGTAATAATAATGAGACATAAATAGGATTTGCTTCAGTACTAATTTCGTACGCTTGATTCACAGGAGCATTTAATTTGAAGAATACGAAACTATCAGAAAATTACCAACTTTCTTAATAATAACTTGAGGTAAAGATAAAACAAGTATCTTGGACTAATTACAAAATATGAGATAGTTTCATCAGCAGCACATCAAAAAATATAGATGCTGGAATAACTATACAAGGAAAGAGTGCTTCTATAAGATTACCTTATTATTTAACTTTACCTTATTATATTACCTTATTATTTAACTGTAATGCAAATTTAATTCTTTCAAATGCAACAAAATATATTAAACTGCAAAGACAAACTGGCGCACATAATTCATATGAAACTACACTCATACATGTTGAATTTACTTGTAAGAGAATGTCACTTCAAAAAATGCATACTGTTTCGGAATAAGCAACTGCTGAATTACGTGAATATGTATTCTCAATATGCTCATGCGAGTTCATGTGCTCATCAGAACCATTCGAATGCCCATAACCATGAGAATGATCAGAACTATGTGACTGCTTGTGGCCTAAATGAATAAGACAGTGTAGCAAGTTACAAAATAATGCTGCAAGATAAGTTTAGACATAATCTTCAGAATAAAAAAGATGAAAAAAAGAGATTTTGTCATTCATGCTCCATTAAATAATGTATATAAATAAGGCAAACAGCTATCTATTCATCAATGAATTGACATCATATTCGAAACAATGAAATGGATAAAAAACCTTCTACATCTGCAGCATATCTCAAAGCTGCATAATCGATCTTTTCGGACGACAATTGCTTTTCATCAGCAAGGCGTTTAGTGTTTATTTTGTAATCACTCACTAAATCCGGTACAGCTGCGATCATACCTTAGAAAATTAACAGTGTAGCGAATACGATATCCAGGAATTAATTCTTGCTCCAAAATGTATATGAAGTGAATCTATACTATTACAAAATAACTAATACTTCTCTAAATGGTGAAAGTAAATATACTAAGTGAGAATATACCCAGAAAATTTTTGGATTCGTAGTCAAATAAAATAATGGAGGAATGTTTTACCGATTACTCTCTGATTGGGATGATCACCTGGATCTCTACTTATAATGAAAAATGTTCTATTGGTAATCAGGGCGTTATCTAGAAATTTCACGTAGTTATCCAAATAAATATGCATTGTGAAAAAGTTTCCTACTATTGCTGGTTCACGTACAAGCTGCAAAGTATTAATGTAGCACTTATTTAGTACGATCATAAAATAAGAAGCTAAAACAAAATGTTCACATGACACACTGATAACTATAGCCAAAATATTAGTCGAAAAAGTGAACATTCAATAAGTGACTACTTACAGCGCCTTCCATTAAATCTTCTCTATCGCTAAATTTTATAGCATAAACACTGACAATATCATTTTCTTTTGGAGAGAGAAACGATTCATGATTAGCTACTGAGGAACGATGAAACCTTCCTTCGAATAGCTTCTCTACAATTGAGATATATATCTATGAAAAATGAATAAAACGTGCTTTCAGACATTGTACAACTGTAAAGATGGAGAAATAAAAGGAATAATTTCACTTAAATTGTTAACACTGATTTTTCATTAAACAAGAATAAATTCAAAGGAGAGAGGTAGCGTAATTCTTGGAGTAATAACGCTTAGAAATTTTCTGTTTTCAGCAATAGCTCTTTTACAACTGAATGAAAGCAAACAATACTGTTCCGCTTAGAAAAAAGAGACATTACCAACACTATTTCTCTAAATATAGTTTCAAGACAACTTCTGCTTATGCATTACACAAAGATAGATTCCATGAATTATTTATATTAAAGAAGATTGTAAAATACCTGAACAAGCTTCATTGCCACATAATTTCGTTTTTTTTGCAGTTGCTTCTAAAGTTGAAGTAAAAGGCAAGATTAATGCCGACCATATAATTAACTGCAACAAAATACATATAAAAACAATTACAGCAGATTCAGAAATCAAATACAAGAAGCAAAAATAATTTCTTTATTGGTTGTAGAGCAAGTTATTGAAAACTGGTACAGTCAGAAATTAAAATACTATAGTTGTGATAATGAATGCATCTTTCGTCAAATATCAATTTTTAATAATTTATAAAAAAGAGCTTGTCAAAAGATCGAAGTAAATTCAGAAAAGTGGTAGCAATTGCATTAAAATGTTTGATAATGTAGTATAAGATGTAAAATAACTAACATGAATTATGTAGTCTGAAAATATAACTCTCATTTGCACACTACTCTGACCAGTAATTCCTTAGGAGAAAAACGACAGCAAGATTCGCGGAATGATAGCTTTCAAAACCAAAATGACAGCGATAGATTAATCAATAAGCAATACTACGAGAATAAGATTCTTTAATGCCAACAAATTTTTGAGAGCATTAACTACTACGTGTCGAATGTCTACGAATAAAAATCAGCAATAAACACGATTATCTTTGCTAATCAACTTTTCGTTTCACCACTATAATGAATTCTAACATACAAAATCTAAGTCATTTTTCTAATAAATAAGAAACTACGTAAGATGCACTTACCAATAATATCAGTTGAAACCTTTCACTATGAATGTCAAATACACGACTTTGCAAAAGATACTACTCAATTTTTTTTCAACAAATTTAAATAATTTAATAATTAACAACCTTTAAACTTATTTTTTCTTTTAATGGCCAAATTTATGAATTTGAGATTAAAACTCGAAAAATTAACCCGCAGGAAATAATATAAAAATAAGCAAAACATTTGCCACAAAAGGAAAGCTTTTTACTTAAATGAAATAACCAAAGAAATAATGACAATCATTACGATAGAAACAATTTGATTAAATGCTGAATGAAAATTCCTCTAAATTACATCTTTACTACTGCCACGCAAACGAAATCCTCGCTCCTATACATATTCCACACTCCTTTTTCATTTCTTACAGAAGCCCACATACAGACACGTACAAAAGCACGTCTAATAACTTTACAGAAATGCCGACGTGTTCCATGCACGAGTCATGTTGTGCAACGTAAAGAAAAGCTATATGCCGCAAAATGAAAAAATTTTGTTCCAAAATGGTTTAGTAAATACGAAAAAAGATTTAATGAGAGCGTCACTGCATCTTTTCATTATACGTCTAACTTACACTCATATCAGGACAGTGAATCTTTCAACAATGAAAACTCTATTTATAAAAATTACAACTGTTCATAAGCAAGCAAAGTGTTCAGCACTATGCTAAGATAATGTTTAAAAACTTTTCGTACTTTGAAATTATGGCATTATTTTTGTGAAAAAAATACATTCTTGCGAGTTTTTCAAACTTAACTTATGCTTTCAGTTACGGCTTGAATCTTTAATTGCTGACCAGCTGACCAGCTGACCAGAAATGTCATTCTGGCGAAGTCACTTGTTACGCCGAAATTGCCACTAGTAATTTAATGATAAGTTTTCAATTACCATTGAAAAGTATCATTAGCACGTCTTCAGAATAGATTATGTCTTATTTTTCTTACTTGAGAAACCTCAAACATTTTAAAAATTAGAGGAAAGAAATTAAATTTGGAATGTTTGAAGAAAGCTTAGATTCATCTTCTGGTAAATCGGTCATTTTTCATAGCAGTAATCAATGTTTAATGCAAATAATTACTTTTGTAATTAAGAATAAATCATAACAAGTCAAAGTTCATCAAAAATATGAACTATTTGAATCGATAGCAAAGCATTAAAATTGACTAAACTAATTAATGTTAAAAACTTTTTAAGTGCAAAAAAAATTTTTAAAAAGTGATGTGATAAATTTACAACTTTTTGTTGTTTTCGTCCACACTGTGCAGCACAAAATATTAATATTTGGTATCAGTGATTGGGTATTTTTTTGAAGTGATAAAATATTTATATAGCGTCAGTTAATCGCTTTTTGAGTGGTCATTTCTGAAGATCGTCATGTCTGAGCGGTCATTTCTCATGATCGCCACGAAAGTGATAGTCTCTTACCTTATCATTGTTGTTATTAATTATTAGCAGTAATTAAGCTAAAATTCTTTTTGAACTATTCACAAAAAATATCGAAGATGATTTTCAATCTTTAATTAAAGCTCAATCTATGAACACTGAATGTTCTTCGTTCAATCTTCATAGCAAAAATTTATAAATTTATGCACAAATGACTTGCTGAAACCATTCTAAAAATATAAAATTCCAATAGTTAAGTTTTGCTATAAATTGGAAATATCCTCGAAAAAACCCATTTTGCTTTATTTAGTAGTTTTTAGCAAATATTTTTTAACAACTGACTTTTAATGATAAAACAGATCCATTAAAAAAGTGTTGGAAGATTTCTTAATAATAATAATAATAATGATAATAACAATAAAAATGAGAACAACAATAATAGTGATAATAACAATAATAATGACAATAATAATGATAAATCAGAAGTTGTAAGCTTGATTTCTATAATTTGCCAAAATTATAAATGCTAATAACAACAACAGTTCTGTATTCATATATGAAAATTACTTGTAATTCTGATAATTATGCCAGTTATTGGAATAACTAAATTTTATTAGTAATTTGAAATGAAATGACTTTATCAATGCAAGATTCTATAGAAATTACTTCTAATGACAAAATTCGTGTCAAATATTTACAGCATATTATTCTACTGCAACGACTACTGATAAGGCTCTTAACACGGCAGTTACCATTATCAGCAATGAGAAGAGAATTGCTATAGTCAACGATTAATCACTTTATCATTTCTTGGCATGCATTCATCATTTCAGTTGATTCCAACATTTACTGTTAACATTTGCTGTAATAATTTTGAATAATTTGTGAGTAAAATGGCTAATGGCTACATGAATAATTAATCGAAAATGAACTTAATAAAACAAAAATTAATCATTCAAAACATATCTTTAAGCATAATATAATTAATTAATGTCTATGCAATTTTTAACTTTATTTTAAAATTAAATGGAAATGTTTGTTTGTCTATGTAATACTTTTTTAGATAGTTTTTCAAGTTTGCAATGAATAGTAACTGTACAATAATAATTTTGCTACTTATGTGGGATGTAGGATGGACTGTACTAAGGCAAGACCAAATTGACAACAGTGGAAAGGTTGAAAATGTTAATGTCAACTATTTATTAATTTTCAAAAATTTAAACGTGAAGATTAATAAGTGATTATTAAGTTCAAATAAATCTATGCAACTTTGCAAAATTTGATTATAAGATTTGAAAGTATAAAAAAATTAAGTTGTTATAATTTTAACAAATTTTTTTGCTAAGTCACAATTTTTTTATTGTTATCTCATCAGTTATTTTCAAATCAATGAAAAAAATTAAGAGCTAGTTTTAAATTTAAAAAAATTTTTATATTTTTATTCACAAATAATTTAATTAAGTCTCTTTGTCGCATTATTTTAGAATCAAGTAAAAGACGAAAATGACTATTATTCGGATACGGATACGGACACGGACATAGACACGTACACGGACACGGATAAGGACACAGAGACGAACACGAATTTCTGGCGTAAAATGGATTCTCTCGTTAATAAAGCGATCAAGAGCGTTTTTTCGAGTCACTCTAAGATAAGGCAGGGAGTGCAAACGTCCATCACTCATATTCGTAATAAATACGTAACGTTTTTGAACATTTACTCTACTACATTTTCAATTCCCAATCTACTTGATCTTCCGGATATTACTGATCAGATTAAAAACTGACATAACGTAAACAAATCATTTGAAATCACTAAGTTGTTCATATTTTGCATAATTTGAAATTGATATCTACGTAAGACAAGTTATTTAACGATCAAATTTTCAAAAAATATAAAGAAATATAATAAATAACACAAGTTCAAGAAAACTTTTTTGTAACTAAATAATTAATATTTAATTTTTGATTGAGAAAAAAAATGTACGTCTACAAGAGAAGTTTGCTGACTGAGCATACAACTGGTATACATAACACATTAAAAAATACCTAATTTTTTTAAACTTTAATTAAGTAATTGAAATATGCAAAAAAATTTTAATTAAGTAATCGAAATAGTAATTGAAAAAGTTTTTATTTTTTTTTTAAGAGCAAAATAATAACTATTTTCTTAATATGCTTTCAGGAGCAATTTGTAAAAGCATTAAAAAGCGAACAAAGAAATAATAAAACGAGCAGACATCCACTACCCACGAAGGATAATGTAAAAAAATGTGGTTGGCATACAAATTCATATTTAGAATCTTAAATTTATGACAGATCAATTTCAAAAATTATCTAATTAAGTCAGAATTTGAAGAAGTTATCTCAATCAAAATAATCACAAAGGCTAATATTGCCTTAAAAATAAGCTTCTAAAATATTTTTAAAAAATAAGTCAATTAATTAATCACTTAATCATTAAATTGATAAATTAAGTTGCAAGTGGTTTAATTTCAGAAATTTTTTTGTTATTTTTCTAGTAGGAAAGCATTGTTCTAAAAATTCTGCTCACAGTTGGAATCAAAATAAAAATAATGATCATACAACGGTTTCTTGGATAGAAAATACTCAACTACAACGTTTGATGATGAATTTGGCAAAGGTGGAAGATTATTTGCAACAGATATTTAATAATCGAAAGATTAAAGTTGAAAGTGAGCAGCGAGAAGATGGATTTTATATGTTAGCAATGATTCCAGCAGAACAAGGTTGTGAACGCTATGCAAGTTTAGGCTTATTTTAAGTAAAGATTCTAAATTCAATCTCATTAAATTCATTCATGGAAGAATTCAGAAAAATTTATCAGTGATTCCAACTTTCACTTTCATTTTCTATACAAAGTATACAAAATATTTTGTGAGATACTATCTAGGATTTGTTTTAAAAATGGTAATCATAAAATTTGAATTGTAAATAAATAATTGGCATTTTCGTAGATACATTTTAACACTTTTGTTTTATTTATGCCATTACTATTTAATTTTTATTCAAAAAATAAGTTACAATGGTTTTTTTCCGCTTCGAATTTGACTTTCCGTAAATTTTCCACGTGAAGCAATAGCAGTGAGATCAAAAGCATTCACTTTCCATTACGCATAAAAGTAGAGATAAATTTGAAAAAGTGGCTTTGATGATACTAAATTTAATAAATAACTATATTGAATTGTTCAAAATAGCAATTTAAGATGATTATAAAGATCTAATTGAAAGCTTGTACCATTTTTAGCATTAAGTGATGAAAATATAAATGAAAAGACGAATAATGGACTAGAGAGTGTTACACAAGAACCACATACGCTTGCTGATGACGTAACAAACGTGATTGGATTTACACATTCAATGGAAGTAATCAAGACTTCAAATGGTAAGCTTCCGTGTATATATGCTTGAAAAGTTTACGCGTAACATGTACTGTTGGTATGAAATTTTCGAAGAAAAAGATAAAGTTGAACAAAAAATAATGCACAAACTTACTAAGACTTAGTTCTGAACTTAGTCAGCTGTTGAATGTCTTCAGTGAAGTTTAAAAATAGATGATATTTACACAAAACAAAATATTAGTAAATATTTTTGTGCTCAATTTTTATCTAATTTTTTTTTTGATCAGTTTTTGAATTTTTTGATCAAGTTGCAATAATTTTATTGTGCTTCAAATCAGTCTCGATCTAATTCACAGACTAAAATTTTGCTTCACGTACACAAATAAAATATTATTTTCTGATATTTTACGTTTTTACAGCTTTGTTAGTTATACCATTTACTGAATTCCTAAACACGCAAAGAACAAATTGATCTACGCTTTTACGACTAATTAATTCACGCTTTACTAACTTTATGATTGTAAATTGATTTGCTTTTTACGAGTTTTGATTCACTTTCAAAATTTATATCAAATTTTGAAGGTAATGTTAGATTATTCTATAATTTTCTAAAAATAATCCAAAAATTAACATGCAAATAACTGCATCAAACTTTTAGAATGCAAATGATAGAATTCTTTTATAGCATCGACTACACCAGTAATCCCAGTTCCATCAGGTTGGTGGAATAGTATTTGGTTTTGGACCATTCACTTAATCGCGGTGATATTATTCCTTATACTCGTTTTATCTTGTTGCATATGGTTTTTTGGTAGCAGAAAACGACGCGATTACAACCGAATTTAATTCCTTTCTTACATTTTTATTCTTTTACAACTTTTATTTACTTTTATTACGAAAATATCAACGTACACAAAAGTATAAAATTAATACTGTAATGTTTTTAGCATCATTTAAATAAAAATGCACTTATTTTGTGCTAGTATATTTTGTTTCTGATTTCATTTTCAATATTACTCTTGTGTGAAGCGAAGGAAGACTGAATGGAACTTTGTGCTTCAGTTTCTTCTATACTTCCCTTTACGAATCTTAGATCCTGAATGCGGAATACAAATCCGATTGAAACATGATCGAGTTCTAAACATAATATACTCACGCATTTTAAAAATATTTTTTGCCACTTTAATGATAGTCACCAGAAATGCTTCTACGCTTAAAACCTATACTCGCAACGTATTGTATTATTTATAGTAAGATCTATCTTCAGAATCAAAACATTCCCAAAATTTAGCAAAAGATTTTTAAATTCAAATTTTCAAATTCCTAAATTACATCCGCGCAGAACTTTCCAGCTATAAAATTGCAGAAAAATTTCCAAGTAAGGCAAAAAATGCCCCAGCCGTAATATATTATCACTAATAAAAAAATGTTGCAGTTGATTTTTTAAATTTCACCCATTATTACCGTAATGATCGCAAAACAGTATTAATTTTTTTTTGCAGAACAATGAAAGTAATAAGAAATTATAAGCCCTCTGTCGTAAAAATAAGATTAAGTAAGCCATAGATCAACGGAGAGATAACTAATCCTGACTCTTCTATTAACGATTCTTTTAATTATAATTTATCATAAGAAATTAACTGCAATTAGTTTCTATAATTGCAGATAATTGACTAAAAGTTCTAACTGATACAAATTGTAGTGTGTGTAATGGCAGAAAATAAAGTAAGTCACTACAAGCTATTTAAAAAGTTTTACTTTCGGCCATTGAATCAAACTCAAAACAAATATGAACAATCAATGCTCTATCAAAAAACAAGTACAAAAAACATTGAAGAGCAATTTTCAGAACAATAAAGTCTTCTGACTATTACAGATTTCTTGCATTCATCATCCATATGCATGCGAGCATCATGATTGTATTGTATATTTACAATTAAATATTTGAATTGAAGCAAAATGCGGGAAAAAAAAAACAACAAAAGGTTGATTTGGTTAATGATAACTTGGTACTAGTTTTAACATATATGCACAACATCTGCAAAAAGTCATACAAGCGATAGATGAGATGGTATGTATGATAACAAGTACGACTTCATATGACAAATTTTCAATTAATTTTGAGCTCGTAAAATATAAAATATCAAACTTATTATAATAAATTGGAACGTTTGTAATTAGTGAAATATAATATTAGATTAAATTGTTCAGAATCTGATTTTGCAAAGTATGCATTTAATTTTAAATGTAATGCATTGAAGAAAAAAACTTTCAAGCAAAAAATTCAAAAAAAAATAATCAAATATTCTAATGGAACATATCACCGATTGAAAAAGCAGAAAGTAAATGTTACAGTACTCAAAATGTTACTCGAAAATATTTCCGTATTTCCGTATATAAATTCAAATCATTACAATTTAATCAACAAATATTTTAGTAATTTCTAAAACAAAATGCAATCAAATCACATACTATCTCACACACATGTTGTCCCGCTCCCAAATATAAAGCATAACACTTAACAATCAAAACTGAAATATCTGAATTAAATTTAATAACTAAATTCAATAACTAAATTTTTTCCTCTTTGTTTCAATAAAGTCTACAACAAATGAAATAAATTTCACACCTATGATAAAAACATTACTATAAAAAGCATACTATGCAAATCAGCATGAGACCAATTATAATTACTTGGAATTATTTGCACAAAAGAATATTTAGAGGTATCTCCCGTGATCTTTCACCGTGTCCAGCATCAATTATCTCGCAGTGCTCTCGATAATATCACTATAAATAATCCAGTAATTGATCAAAAACAAAAGAAGACAAAAATAAAAGAATCAAGAATCCTTGTTATACAATACATGAGATAATACCTTCAAAACTACCAAATACAAGCTCAAATTCATGAAAATTTCCTGATGCTTTGTGGCACATAACTTAATAACCAGTCGATACACTTTAGTAATTATTATTATGGATAGCAATAAGGAAACAAAATGCTAACTACATCTCTCTCTTCAGTTATAAATCCTA